AAACAGAATTCAAGTGGCTCTGCGACGACTGTAACTTACCTGAAAAATCCTCATGCAAAACCAAGCAATTCCAATGTTGGAGCATGAGGTCTGTCACATTTAGGAGCTATCATGCTGGGACAGGCTGATGGCACCTAGTGGCCATTTCACACTGAACACACAAATAGCAAACTATTTCACACTATAGTGGAAGCACTATAACTGGTCAAGGTTTCTAATTTCAAAGTGATTCATGTTGGATCCTGTAGGCCACTTGTTGGACCATTGTGGCTTAGACTATGTGATTCCAAGTCCCGACGTGGGGCTTGAACCCACAGCCTTCTGACTCAGAAGCGACAGTGCTACCACTGCGGCACATCAAAGAAGCCCCGCATCAACTTTAAACTCACAAGTCCTCACCAACAATCCCCCAGAAAAAATTGGCCATTCATCGTGACTGTTTGTGGGATATTGCGTGGAAATTGGCTGCCACATTCCCCTACAAAATACAGTCACTCCACTTTTCAGTATATCTTGTAAAGCACTTTGAAATGTCCTCTTGATGTGAAGGACACTAAATCAAATGCATGGATTATTATAAATAGCGATCTTGAATGTGTGCAGATCAAACCTATTACTAAAAAGAGTTTGACATGGGCTTCTACTGCCTTTAAGCTGAATAGTTTTTAGGAGTTATTGAACATTTAAGAGAAACAAACCAGAATGGACTGTTTTGTATTGACAACTTTATTTGCTGTAAAAGTAAAAGTATTTAAATAATGTTACTCTTACCATGAAACAGTGAATTATTTTGGGAAACAAGAAAAAAATGGGTTCTGTGAGTGTATGATCATATCCTACAGAATAGCAATGTTTTACCCATTAGTAGTATCATATATGAATTGTTTTCAGATATAATACTAATAATGGTGCTGACAGTATCACCATCCATGGTTGCACACTCAATCTTGCTAAGCCAGTCCAGAACCCTGGGGTCTTGTTCGACCCTCAACTATCCTTTCTATCTCACATTCGGGCCATGACCCGCTCTGCCTTCCCCCACCTCCGCAGCGTCACCCAGCTCCGACACTGTCTCACACCTCAGTCCGCCAAAACCCTCATACATGCCTTCATTACATTGAGGCTTGACTATGCAACCTCCCGGTTTGTCGGCCTCCCCAACTCCTCCCTCCACAGGCTGCAGATCATCCAGAACTCTGCAGTCCGTGTCCTCTCCCGCACCAGGCTCTGCAACCTTTTCACCCCCATCCTCGCCCAACTCCACTGGCTTCCCATCACACAGAGGATACAGTTCAAGATCATGGTCCTCACCTTCAAAGCCCTCCATGGTCTTGCTCCCCCCTACCTCTCCAACCTCCTAACCACCTACCATCCTATTTGCTCCCTCCGCTCAGCAGGCACCGGCCTGCTTCACTTCCCCTGCCTCGCTCGCCCCACTATTGGCGGGCAGGCCTTTCTGCCCCCACCCTCTGGAAATCCATCCGGCAGTCCCTGCATCTCACCCCTTCCCTCACCACCATCAAGACCATCTCAAGACCCTCCTCTTCGACCATGCTTTCGATCTCCCTGCTTCCCCATCTGCCCTCCCCCACCCTGACCCTCAGCTTGGGTCCGTAACTCTGTCTGTCCAACGCCTTGGGACGTCCTCCCAACGTGAAAGGCGCTATATAAATGTAATTTTGTTGTTGTTTTCTAAATTGAATTTGCAAATTTATCATATATATCATATTTGAGCTAAACTTGTTGAATGATCTGGTTGCAGAGATCCCCACTGAGCAACTCTCCAGAAAATGCAACCCAATTTAAGAGTTGTTTCCTTGCTCCAATTAAAAACTTTCAATAAACTTACAAAGTCTAACAGTCTCAAATTTGCTACAGCAGTGTGCCACAAAAAGTCGTGGATTGAAAATGACCAATTTGTTATTGTTTTGTTTAGGAGGGATTATTATTAGGCGTATGGAGTAAGGAAACTTGCCTAAGGTTTCGCTCTGCCTGGAATTGAACCCAGGTGTCTCACTTGTAAGGTGAGTGCTCTAACTACTGAGCTACTGGACTCCATATCTCTAATATCCTTTCCATAATGTGGTGCTCAAACCTGCATACAGTATTCCAGCTGTGAAACAATGTCTCGTACAGATTCATCATCCCTTCCTTACTTTCATATTCTGCAGGTGGCTCGTCAACTGCATGTCCCTCGATCCATCTACTCCACCACCGTACTTCCAGCCATTATGCCCCCAAACTCTGAAACTCTCTGCCTCAATCGCTCTGCCTTTCCCCTTGTCTTCAGATCATATCTGAAGACTTTCCCTTTCAACCATATCAACTGTCTCCTAGGCTTTCTCCCCCTACTTGGTATCAAACTCTGCTATTTGGGACGTCCTCCCGATATGAAACACGCTGTACAAATATAATTCTGTTGCAAGTTGTTATATTCAGTGGCTCTGTATCTAAATCCCAGAATCACGAAATGATAGAAATTCATAGAAATTTACAGCATCTGCGCCAGTTTTCAGTGCAAGGCATTCAATCCTGCTGCCCACACCCCTTCAAGCCTCTTACCTTTCATATACCTGTCAACTTCACTCTTAATACCCACAATGGACTGTGCCTCTACCACCTTACTTAGCAGGGCATTTCACATCCCCAAAACTCTCTGAAGGAAAACAATTCACCTAAGCTCATCTTTTTCTCTTCTTGTGACTATTTTATAACTCTGGCCCGAGTCATTGATTCCCCAATAGTGGAAATAGCAAAACTGTAGCAATTTTACAACCAACATCTTCAGGGAGTAAATAAAAACACCACACACTCTCAATGCTTGCCCTTCAGCAAAATACTGTGCTTTCTCCTTGCCTCCCCCTCCTTGCTTCTATTTAGATGTGCTGAATCTTAGCTAGAACAAAAGGTTAGCAGCTCCTACTGTTGAGAATCCTCCCGCAGATGGATATGAGGGACCAGGCCTGACAGCAAATGAAAATCAGGGATATTTTCTCCAAACATGGGCAGAAATAATGTGCAAAGTTCAATCCTATTTGCAATTTGATTTGATGCAGGATGTTAAGAAGTAGCCAGAACAGCACTTTGAGTGTTGGACCCAAAGCTTCTGCAGCTACATATTAACGTCCTTTAATATTATATAACAATAATAAAGAATAAATCCTTGCATTTCATATAGCAACTTTCATGTCAGCCTGACATTGCAAAGTACTTCAGAGGATATATTGTAAAGTATATTGACTGTGTGTTTTGCAGGCAAACACAGCCTCTTTGCACTTTTAGCAGCAATTCCATTTATATTGGAACTACACTTTTAACAAAAACAAGGTAATTCCACTTTTAATGAAAACCTAAGACAAGTTTCCTTACTCCACACACCTCTTTATACCAGCAATAAGTAGGAACCCAGCTGTTAGTCGATTGGCAGATTGCTATTCTGTGGATAATAATCCCTCCCCGTAAAAAATGTGGGCACTCAATCCACAACTGTGTGTGGGACACTGCTGTGTGCAATTCGCTGCCGCGTTTTGTCACAAAATACACACTTTGTAATATATTCTTTGAATCACTTTGAGACGTCTCAATGTCGTGATAAGGTGCTATATCACATGCAAGGATTATTTATCATCTACAGATCATGTCTATGGGACTGAAAAGCACACATCTCATGCAAGCATGGAGTATCATCACTGAGCAAGTTCTTGTACATTTTAAGGAATAGATAAAGCACACTTAGGGTGGTTATGGCTTGCAGCATACCTAATGTAAACCTGTATGGGCTCTAGTCAGGCAACACACAAAACTAATCTCTCTCTCAGAGGTTTAGGAAACGTGCTGCGATTGTATAACAAACCCTGCTTTGGATCAGGCTACAAAATTAGAAGCGATGTTTTAGCTCTCATGAGTCATGACCAGCCAATCTAAGTGTTTGTGAAATGCAAACAACTCAGGTCTGCAACAACTTGCAAACCATCTTAACTCAGGCTGAGATTGCACTTGTGGGCAGAGGCAGGGTTCAGGGGGCTCAGGGTTTCTGCCCACACAACATCCAAGCATTGCAAGTTATTGTAAACAACAACAAATTTCACTTGTATAACGCCCTTCACATCGGAAAGATGTCCCAGGGTTACCTCAAGCCCCTGTTAAAAATGACAGAAGCAGTGGTTCTGGTAACTTGGCACAATCATCACAAATACAAGTTAAACTCTACCTTCAACAAATTCATTCAATTATTTTTCTTCTAAGAATTAACCCCGAGAAGATTGCACAGTACCAATTCTCAGCTCATGAGGGAGCAATAATAGACATCTCTTGCTGTAGCTTAACCCAGTATCAAAAATAGTCATATCAATCTCTTCTACTCTAGGAAAGAAAGAATAAAAGGGAAATATCATGATGTTGCTTTTACTCTTGATGAGGAATGATTAGGAAATAATTTTAAAAAGTCATTCAATCCACGACTGTTTGTGGGACACTGCTGTGCACAATTCGCTGCCGCGTTTCATCCACAAAATACAGTCATGCATTTTACAATCTATTCTGTGAAGCGCTTTGAGACGTCTGAACAATATGATAAAGCTGCATCAAATGCAAGGATTATTATTAATCTATGAAAAGTTCTCTTCTCTGGGGTAAGGAACGAATGGGAAATAATTGAAAAATAACAATAATAATAATAATAATTTGGTCACATCAATCCACAACTGTTTACGGGACGCTGCTGCTCGCTATTTGCTGCCGCATTTCGTCCAAAAAATAATCCAGTCCGTTCACATGACAATACATTCTGTGAAGCGCTTTGAGGCGTCTCAGCGACGTGATAAGGCGCTACATCAAATGCCAGGATTATTATCATTATTATTATCATAACTATGTATTATAACAGGTACGGGAAGGTCTCTCCCTACTCTAGGGCAGGAATGGAGAGGAAATAGAGAATCCCTCGTAGCCTTAAGAGGAGGAAAGGAGGAAGGAAATAGTCAACAGTCAGAAAATCTTACTGCTGCTTGCTGGAAGGCTCCTTTGGTGAAGGTGCCTCCTCCCCTGTAGGTGATGGCCGGGATCTCCTCGGTGAGCAGTGAGCACTTGTGCTGCCGGGGCTCCGGGGAGGAGATGTAGTTCACTCTGGGGATCACGTTGTTTTTGGAGGAGAAAGTGACGATGGCCACCCGGGTGGCCGTGGGGACCACCGGGAAGTCAGACAGCAGCTTCTTGACGAACTTCAGCTCGTTGACGAAGTTGGCGTGACCCACGCTGGAGGACTCATCCACCAGGAACACCAGCTCCAAGCCGTCGCTCTTCTCTCGCAGTTTGCGCACGTTGCGCTTGAAGACGACCCCCCGACTGACCACTCTGTTGGTGGCAGCTTCCGGACCATTGCCATAGCGATGTTCCCTCATCTCCAAGGTCCTCCCTGTCCCCGGCAGGTTCTTCCTCTGGAAAGGGAGGAACGGGTAGGAAGGCAAGCAGCACACAGCCTGCAAAGCCACCAGCAGAGTGACTGCCTTGCACATCATTGCAAGCCAGGACACATCTAAATGCTCTTCACTCACTCTCTCTCTCTCTCACACACACACACACACAAATGCAACAATTTCTGCAAATGCAACTTTCTGCAAATGCAACACTTTCTTCTGTAAAATCTCCTTTTAGAAAATCAACTCTCTAATTCTGTCTCGACTCTCTTTCTGGCAAACAGTGGTCTGTTTTACTCTCTCCCCCCGTAACTGTCCTTTCCTGGAGGCTAGCAACGAGGAAGCATGTTGTAAGGGATGAGATGAAAACGCAAGTGTCTTTGAAACTGACACTGGAAAAAGTGGAATGAGACAGAGAGAGAGAGAGAGAGGCAGTGGCTGATTTGTTTTTTTACACCCTCTGTTACTGCTGAAGCAACTGAGATTCCTTGTCACTGCTACATGTGCGTCAGGCTATCAGCATTCCCAAAGAAAACATCAGCACAAACTTCCTGATTGATCCCATATGTTTGGCAGAAGCAGATACACAGAGTGCCATGTTAATTGGAAGCACTTTTGGCCACTTTTCAAGTTCTGATCCTTCAGTCACCTGCACAATGGTGTCTCTCTCTCTCTCTCTCCAGAGGCTTTTCTAATCAAAGGAGGAAAATAAAAAAATGTGTTTTGTTTGATTTAATCTTAGACCAACATTGCAAAGTTCAATCCTGCATCTCCAAAGGTTAACATTACATCCCAGCCCTTTTCGAACATGTTTTGGTTCTTTCTGTAACCTTTGCTTTGTCACCTTGAGGGACAATTCCCAGGAATGTTCTGGATTGGACAGGGATCAGCTGTTTAAACCACCACATTTCCTACAACAATGCAAAAACTCCAGTTCTTGAACTCCCATTCCTGACTCTGTTACTGGCTTTAGTGGGGAACAGGGAAAACTAATTCAGACAGTGCATTATATTTTCACCAGCAATTGACCAGGCAAATGTACATACTAAATGCAACATTTCTGGGTGTCTTACAAACAGAGGCAGCTGCTAGGAGTTGTACCTGGCCATTATAGGCATGTGATCTACTTTCACCCGATTAACTTCAACAAATCTCTACCCCCTGACCTTCTCTCTTAAGTGTCCAAGTGCCAAACCCCTAGAGATTTCTAATCCATAGACTTTTTCTGCTTGAAATCAGGTTAACTCTAATTCATTGCTCACGGACCACAACTTCAAGATCATAATAACCCTCATAGAATTGACAGTATTTATTGCATGGACCAATAAATAAACTCTGAGATTATTTCTGATCACTCAATATACAAGCAGGGGCTCCTCCTCACAAACAGAAAAAAGGGTGAGATTGTCATAAATTCTATGTGTTATAAAGAGGAAATGCCCTGGCACCACCTCTATCTTTTTGCTTATTCCCCAAGCCATCACCTGTCACCTCCGCTGCTGGCTCGGGCCTCCTGCATGCCCCTCTTTCTGTTCCATCATTGGCGGCTGTGCATTTTGCCACTATGCCCTGAAACTCTGGACCTGTCTCCCTCAATCCCTCCGCCTTGGCCTCTGGTTCCCCATTTTCAGATCACACCTTAAGACGTTCCTCTTCGACTGTGCCTACAGTCACTTCCCCACAGCTTGGCATCAGGGCTGTTTATGGGACATTGCTGTGCAAATATTGTTTGCTGCTTTTGCCAACTAAATACACAGTCATTACACTTTACAGTAAAACCATGTGAAGCACTTTGAGACACTTTGATAAGGCTGTGTCAAAATGTGAGCATTATTATACAGCGGAAGCTGCTTAAGCCGGACACATTGGGGCCGGCTGTTTTGTCACCGTAAGCAGAGTCAGAGGTTAACTAAAGTTCTTCCCGTACGAGAGAGGAGCGGAGAGGAGCAGTGCTGCTGTCTCTTCCTTCCCACTGCCATATTCCATTGCACGGGAAGGGGACCAATTACTAACGGCTCCGGAGGTGAATGATTGACTGCCTGGAGCCACCTGTGATGGATGGGCTCCACCCATTCAGAGTGGCTCCAGACTCGTCAATCTATCGCCATTTGGTTCCTCCCATTCCCTCCCTTATTCTTTTACCGTTCTTCCGCCCCCTCATTGATTGACAGCCCAGAGCCGCCTGTGAATGGCTGGTGTCTGCTGTCAATCAATTGCAATTTGACTCCTGCCAACTCCCATCCTGGAGTCGCTCGAGACACAGAATTAATTCACGTAGCGATGATCAGCGTGGCGTTTTGTCCTGGATTAACTTGATTTTATCCTAATTAGCAGGCATATTTAATGCAGCTGAGAATACAAATGAACCGGAGCTGGGCATTTTGTCCAATTTACTCGGCGTCCGGGGTTAACCAGTGTCCGGCTAAAATGGCTTCCACTGTATTAACATTAGCTCCCTTCACAAATTTATTGTTTTGTACATTCTTTGCGATTATAAATAAAAAATAATTGAGAAATAGAATGACCCTCCCCTGCTCCAGTCGGCCAATGTGATGGTATGTGTTCGGGAAAAGAATCAGGCTAAAATGAGTTTGGGGAATGCATTGAAATGATCTCAGAAACTGGTGCAGAATGAGGATAACTTTTAAAGGTTAGGGATTCATCTGTTACCAACGACATGAAAAATCAATGTTTCGTTGTTTTTTCAAAAAATCTTTCATAACAGCAACGAGAATTAAATACTCAAAGCAGTCCCTGTCCTCTATATCTTATTTCCAAACCAGTATATCTTTACACGAATCCTGAAATGCCAGGACAAAGCAAGCCTAAAGCACTCACTGGCAATAGAAGTCCAGGGTTCAGCTTGTCCACTGATAATGGTATCGGAGAAGGGAAACTGTGTATCACACACATCCGTACTCACTCTAGGGGGTTAACTAATGATGGATGAATTGAAAAAGCTCTCAAAACTCAATCAATGTGTTTATCTAGCTTGTAAAATGCCTTCCATTTGTTCAGCAGGATCTCTCGCTCTCTCTCTAAATGGGGAATTGACTGTTAAATTAACTCCAATCTGTGTTTGTAATAGAAAGTCTCACTCAAAGTGCACCTCAGCAAACTGAACAAACTTGCTCCTGCGTGGATGTCACTCCCGTAGAGTTCCCTGGATAGAGAAGAGGGAATTCTGACTTTAGATTTTTGGCAGTAGAATATCACTCGTGCTATCGAACGATGGTATTTTCAATGTGGCCAGACTGGGAAGGCAACCACTATTCAGCCACAGTCTGACCTCTCTCTCTCGGTCTCTCTCTCTCTCGCACAAGCTGCCACTGGATAGTGACAGATGGAATAAACTTATATGTGACAACCTGAGTTATTGAACCATGGGAGGAATTATGAACAAAATACAAACATAGATTTTTGGAAAGGCTTAGGATAAAATGTTACCCTGGTTTCCAATTGGAAACATTTAAATTTGAACTTTTTAAAGTTACATTTGGTTCTCCTTTAGGCTCTTTGTTTTATAACATTTAGCGTGAAAAACATGACTTTTTGGAAGGTCTCTCACACAACACATCATCAGCAAAAACAGACGTGCACGTCCACTCACAGAGTTTATGCAAACCGTTATGCTTCCTTGCCTCTCTAGTCAACCTCATCACACACTGAACTCGGAGAAACCAACCAGGCATGAGACAGAATTAATACAGAGGGGAAAACAACAGATGACTTCCAAAAGAGAAAAAGCATTTAAGCAGAGATCACAGATACTTGGACAAGGCTGTTCAGCCCATTTGATCTCATTCTTCCAGAATACAGCGTCAAGCTGCTTCGTAAATAAATACAGTGCCCTGGCCTCAAACATCCTTGTTGTTTGCTCTCTGTGTAAAGAAATGTTTTCTGCTGTCTGTCCTTAAATTGCCCTTCATAACAATGGACTTGTGCTGCTCTTTAACATCTGTAGTGGTTCCTGCCTCCAATAAGGGGAGCGGTTATAAAACAAACTCCTGTTCAATGTCCCAACCTTTTTTAGAGTAAGTTCAACAGGAGTTGGGATTGAGTCACAATAGAATATAAACAGATTGACCTGTGGACAGCATGAAGTGACGTCTTTCAGTGCATAAGGAAACTGCGGGAGTGCAGATGCTCCCACCAGGAGCACACCACAGGGTCCAGGGCGCACCCTCTGGTTAGCCCACAAGCAAACGCAAAACTGATTGAAGTAAGGGTACAGAAGGACTCTTGAGATGTAACCAAAGGGCATCCCAAAAATGTATGCAAGGTCAACATGTGCGCGTATGATGCACATCAGGGCGCCTTATCTGGGTGTGTGCAGGCCTGCACATGGATGTGGTGGACACAGGAGCGACTCCCGACTGTTTTAAAGGGAGGGTCCCAAAACACACGTACACAACCTGTGTGTGGGAAAGGCATGTATAGTACACGACGGAATGTTTTTTGTATCGGGAGAAAAAGGAACAAATTGTAACAGAAGATGTTGTATTTCTTTTGGATTTCTGTTGTACGAAATATTATATTTTTAAATAAATATATATTTTCAAAAAAAAAGTTGTTTTGCGGGTGAAAAGGAAGGAAAGACAAAATAGAAAGAGCACAGAAGAAAGAAAGTGACAATAAGGACAACATTTAATATTTATATAGTGCCATTCACGTTGGGAGAAGGTTTCCAATAGCTTCATACAGCTCAACCGGAGTCCAAGTGAGGTGGAGCAGGGGAAGGATGACCTAAAGTGCGATCAAAAAGATAGGTCTTAACATGGACTTTAAAGGTGAAAGGCAGTGGGCAGGTGTGGGGGCTCCAAGATGCTTTTGCCCACTGCTGGTGGGGAATGTTGGGTGGGGATACGAAGCACTCTGAGACGCTACACTGCGTGGAGGGTGCTATATAAGTGCAAATTGTTGTTGTTGAAGCAGGCTAGTGTTTGCTGAGTGAAGGGAGTGGCTGGGTTTGGTAGGATTGCAGGAGGTCACAGAGGTAGGGTGGGGTGAGAATGTGGAGGGATTTAGTCATGAGGACGAAGAGCTTGATTTCAATCCTTTG